TGTGTGTGTGTGTGTGTGTGTGTGTGTGTGTGTGTGTGTGTGTGTGTGTTCGTGTGTTCGTGTTCATGTTCATGTGCTCCAGATCTTGTTAAAAGATTAATTCAATCTAATAATTCCCTGGGCCAAGAGTAATTGACTCTGATGGGTCCCAGGGCTGCTCAAAGTCCCAGTAATGCGCTAACAGCCCTGACGTAACGGGATTAAGCCTGGACAGACTGGGTGAGCGGCACCGGCTTCATCGTGTTCATTTCATGGGGGAATTACGACCATCCATTACAACTAACTTTTCCAGGAAGCGGACTTGAGAGCAGGGTGTGACCTAGGGTGACCCTGGGTGGCACTGGAGAAAAGGCAGCTGTGTGGCCTCGGGTGGGGGATGCATGGGGCCCCAGCCCTGCCCCCAGCTGTCCTGGATGACCAGGTCAGCGCTTGCCCTTGACTTTTACCTGGGGTCAGAGCGGATGGTTTGAAGAGGAAGGAAGCACAGTCGAGCTTGGCTCCTGTGGCCTTTGGGCAGGGCAGTGAGGTGGTGGTGGTGGTTGCGGGATTCTGGGCCCTCGGGCTCCAGCTGCCTGAGTACCTGCCTCACAGGCCTCGTCTGCTCCTAGGGGGCCGTGTGAAGACCTGGAAGCGGCGCTGGTTCATCCTCACAGACAACTGCCTCTACTACTTTGAGTACACCACGGTGAGTGGGCCACACAGCCCTTTCCACAGGCCTGGGGGCCTCGCGCTGCCGGGCCTTGCCTCACAGCTCTCTCTCCTAGGACAAGGAACCCAGGGGCATCATCCCGCTGGAGAACCTCAGCATCAGGGAGGTGGAGGACCCTCGGAAACCGGTACGTGGGTTCCCTGTGCCTGCGCCTTCTCTCCCTCCATCTTTGGCCCCCGCCACCCTGTGACGGCTCCCTTCTCTCTACCAGAACTGCTTTGAGCTGTACAACCCCAGTCACAAAGGGCAGGTCATCAAAGCCTGCAAGACAGAGGCCGACGGCCGTGTGGTGGAGGGGAACCACGTCGTGTACCGCATCTCCGCCCCCAGCCCTGAAGAGAAGGAAGAGTGGATGAAGTCCATTAAGTGAGTGAGGGCAGCCAGGCCGTTCAGGCATGTGGGGGGCAGGAGTGCGTGCGCACGTGTGTGCGTGTGGGAGGCCTTTCCTCGGAGTGCCAGAAACTCCGAAGGCCTGCCCGGCCACCTCACCCCTGGACTTGCCGCTTGCTTGGGAACGCGTGGGGTGGGGCTGGCATCCAGGCCCTCCTGCAGCCTCAAACTGCTGAACTTTCTTCCCCAGAGCAAGCATCAGCAGGGACCCGTTCTATGACATGCTGGCCACAAGGAAAAGGAGGATTGCCAATAAGAAATAGGTAAATGCCAAGACCCAGGCTCCACAGCAGAGACACCGGCTACTCAAGCAGCGGGACGAGGCGGCGGTGTGGTGCCAGGGTCCTCCAGAGCAGCCAGCCAAGCCTCAGAGCCTGTGCTGTGCTCTGGGACGCTGGTCAGCTGTGAGTGTTTCCTTCCTGTCACTGTCCTGGCGTTGACCTTTGGGGGACCCTTGTCCACAACAGCACCTGCCAATACAGCCTCCAGATCTGCACAGCCCAGGTGGGACTCCTTTTCTGGAGCCAGAGCCTCATCCACACCATGCCGCACCTGCTCTTAGGGGCAGCGCTAGCTGTTCTAGAAGTCGCTGTTTTATATCAAAATGGGAAAGGAAAACCTACCACTTTTTTATTCAGAATTTTTCTCAGATATATAGGATTATAGCTTTTATATGCCTTTTTATATTCTGAAAATTATAATGAAAGATACTTAATTTCTAACAGTAGTATTTTTAGAATGGCAGCTCTAAACCTAACTCCTGGACACAAGTATATACTGTGCACTGAAAACAACCCAGATATGCAGCCCCTAGCACTGCGGTGGGAGAGGGGGCGCCTGGGGTGGCAGGCGGGGCCCAGGCAGCCACTCTGGGTGAAGAGCTGTGGTAAACTCCCTCACAGGCTTCTAAGGCCACTCATTCACTAAAATACGGCCGTGGGTCAGGCTGTTTACCCTGTCAAGTGCTGAGGCCTGGGAGACGGAGTCCTTTCCTATTTACGTGTGAAGCCATAGGAAACTGCTGTTTGACTTTCAGACATGGCAGTTCCGTGTGGTCCAACCGCACACGGCTCACGGCTTCAGTGCTTTTGTTGCTTGCTGTTTTCAAACGTCAAGTGCTCACTGACGTGTGTTTTGTGTAACGAGTAGGCATAAGCGGCCAGAAATAACCCACCCAGCCCCTGCAGTGCCGAGTTCTCCAGCACTTGACACCCCTTTGGAGGGGAAAAGCTGAAGATGGCACCGAGGGGTCCCTGTAGCATACAGAACCCTGTGTGTACCGGGGTATGTGTTCAGGCCACCGTGTGCTTGGGCTGAGACTGGGTAAGGTGGTAGGGCCTTTTCTGTTGTGGCTCTGGGAGGCCCACTCATGATCTGGAGGAACCTCTTGAGGCTGCATGTGGCTTGTTGGAAATGGCTTTCCCGTGCAGAACTGCTTCCCTGCTGTCTGCATCCCGACAGTCCTGGAAAACCAACAATCATATATGCAGCACCTAGACATGACTTTCTGTGAGCTGGCTTGAGGCTCTTTGCCTCTGACCTTGGTGGCAGTAAATGTCATGTAAGATGGTGCAGGGGACCTGAAGGCCGAAAACTCCCTCATGCACCAGACTAATCACTTTTTGGTTTATTCCCAAGCTTCTAGGCTTGCTTTCTTTTACTGATACCTCAAATCTGAAACCCTTGCATTTGAGCTGCCTGGCTGGTGTGTATGCAGCTTGGCTCCCAGTCTTCCGTGGTCCTTAACCCCTCTCCTCCTTCCCCCTCAACCTGAACCCGCTGCTGGTTTGGCACCTGTTGGGAGGTGCGGACTGGCGTTCCTGTCTTCTCACATCCAGTCCAGGTGTGGCCCTGGGGAACAGAGCTCTCCGTTGGATATTGGGGGACATTAAGCATGAGGCCACCTGACGCCCCCTTTAATGCCATAGTTATCTTTGAAGGGATGTTGGTGCTAAGAATCCTAAGTTACTGGCTCTCAGTACCCACGTGGAGTCACCTAACTCAGGTTATGTTGTGTCAGTATTAGCCCCAAGGGCACATGGCCATTTCCAGAGCTTACGAAGGCTCAGGCACACCCCTGTCCGTCACTCTCTCTCTGCACTCTCACTGAAGCATTAAGCCCTACTCTGGCCAAAGACAGTTTCCTGTCCTGCCTGGCCCTGGTCGTCATTTCTGAGTGTCAGGGCACTTGATGTGGTACCGCAGTGTAACTCGGAGCCATCTGGAGATGCAGCAGCCTACTGTGCTTCGCGGCACACTGACTTCAGAGCTACAGGTGTGCTTTGCTGACAAGTTAGGTCGTTACAGACCAGAAACCACAAGTTGTGATTTCCTTCTTTGTATCTTAGAAAAAAACCTTTCTATTTACAATAAATAGTTACTGTGTAAATAATGTACATATGTAGTAATTTCTGCAGGGTTTGTTATACAGTGTACATACTCCTACAGTCTGCATGAAGAAATATCCTATCAATGTTGATATCAGAATTTCTGGCTATTTTATTGCAAAGCAAACAGCTAGCAAAATGGAGGGCTTACAGCTGTCAAATACTGTGTCCCCTAAATAAAAACGTACTGCTCAAACAAAACTGCCTAAGACTCAATTCTTCGAAACAGATGTGGCTGTGAGCTTGTGGAGAACAGAGTGAAAACCGAGACAGAGCCGTTTAATTTGCTGCCATTTATATACTATATAAATCTTACATGCCGTATATACAGTGGGGCAAGTGCTTTTTTAATCTTAAAAAAACAAAGATCAACTTTAGACATCTCTGAACAACACAAACTGTATAAACCATACAGATTATTCAGATACACACTGTATTAAATACAGTCTTTTCCCCACTCCCGTCTCCTGATGCAGGACCAGTGAATTATAAGTGTATCACAGTTTTATAGCATATCCATATTAAAAATAAAATCACAGTATGATTTTTGTCTGTAACTAGAAACTTGAAGGGATCAAGCTGACGACTCAGACTCCAATATCATATTGTCGAGACGAGACACAGTATAAAAAGTGTTAGGTAAAAAAAACATACTGTAGGCTTTACAAATAATGTCTGGATTATACATTCATAATGCAAATACTCATCATAACTGGTAAATTGATTGGAATAATTCCACAAAGTTCAAAAACAGAACTTGTCTATAAAATACATCTTCAAATCTTGAATACAACTAAAATGTGAAGCAAATTAGTTTCTAGTATCAGACATTGCAGAGGAAGCCCTCGAAGGTCTAGTTGAGAGCTTGGGTCTTTACGTAAGTCTTTAAATTAAATAGACGCACTGTCGTTTGTCCTTTTGAAGTCCATGGTTCCCAGCTGGCCGTGCACCAGGTGTCTAGCGTGGAGGAACATTACATGAGATACAAGTAGTCAACCTGAGTCTGTGGTTAAGCAGCATTTGAGATGGTCTATTCCAGGGCATTATTGTCAGTGTGGTTTTATGTACACGGTAATTTACAACGTTCAGCAGTGTAGAAAGTATCCGTTTGGAATAAGGGCAATTAAGAAAAGGTAAAAACTGAAGAAAAAAAGAAAAAAAGGAAAAGTTGTCCATGGTAAAATCTGTACAGTATTTACTAAGGAAGCACCACGCAGTTTGGACAGTTATTTTCTATGTTTATAATTTAAGCTGAGTTGGGGATGGCTTCTGTTGCGAATGTTGAATCTGGAAGATAAGAGGTGCAGGCATTAGCCTAACGGAGGCTGGTCTCTTCCCGGGCACTCTGGACACGCCCCCATGGCTTTTGAAAAGTTCTTGAACTGTGCTCTCTACCTTCCTGAACTGCCTAGGGAGCCCTGTGATGCTAGGGAGGCGCCATCTGCTGGGCCCCAGACCTCAGGTGCCGCTTTCACTGGGCAGAGGACAGGGGTTAGCGGCTTTGTCTCAATAACACAGACAAAGCCTGTCAACCAGCTGCAAACTGAGCTTCTGTAGCAGCTCACTTCAAAACCCTCTATGCTGACTGGGCCTTGAAAGACAGTCTTCGCTTCACCAGGTACGGGCTATGAGTTCCTGTGTCTCCGGGCTGTACAATCACACGCCAGCATTAGGGACCAGGGTACAGCCCTGACGCAACTTCCATGTGTGGATGCTAGCTAGTGGCTGTGTGCTGAAGGCACCGGCACGCCAAGAACGCCCGCCACACACACACACCAGCACTCCCACAAATGACCAAAGCACAGACAGGAAGATAGCTTACCGTAGTCTTCTTGCTGTGGAGACCAAGGCTTTAATCCCCTGGAAGGCAAAAGGAGGGAACGATTGAGTGTGCGTGCATACCTGTAGACTGTATCCATAATCAATTCCTGCAGTTTGATACCAGCTGCTGAAAAATCACTTCTAGGGGATGGGCAAGCAGACCTTGGCTGGCAGTGCTGCCAACAGCGCCAGCATAGAATGCTCAAGAGCCACGCCCAAGGACCAGTTCTCGGCCCCAGCGCACTGCTGCATGTTTTCATGTGAGGACGAACATTTCTGTCAGGCCAAAGAAATGAGCTGAGAGTCACAAAAAAGAGCTGGAGGAAGGACTGCTGCTCTTGCAAGAAAGGATCAGTGGCCAGGCCCTAGAAGGAGGTTGGGGTAGAGGCGTGGGTGCAGGGGCATTAGCTGCACATCAGCCACCGGTTTGGGGCACCCTGAGGCAGTGCACGGGTGTACGCACGAGGAGCAGAAGGTTCCCCTTGGCCACCAAGATGCCCACATCTCTGCCACAACGCAGGCCCTTTATTTGTGCCCATGATCTTTCAGTGTCTGAGGCAAGATTGACAGGCTTTCTGTACCAAGTGCTAGGTGATGAGAACCATTTCTCCCAGCACTCGGGGAGACAGAGGCAGGCAGATCTCTGTGAGTCTGAGGCCAGCCTGGTCAAAGTGAGTCCAGGACAGCCTGGGCTACACAGAGAAACCCTGTTTCAAAAAAACCATTTCAGTGGGACAGGCCACGTCTCACCTTACTCGGTGGCACCAGAACA